GAGCTCCGAACTCCCGAGTACGCTTGGCTCTCCGAAATCGCGCACAGCCAAATTGGAGAAGATGTCGCGTCCACAACGAACCTGGCACGTTCCGAAGATGCAGACGCAAGGAAAACACCCCATGTCGATTTCGTATTCTAGCTTCGCAAATTACACCAGACTATGAAACTCGGGGTGCGGAAAATAAGCAGGTGCTCTCAGTAATACCTGAGTGGAAAATCCTTGTGCGCAAAACATGCAGAATTTCCATGCTAGATGACGCGACTTCCCGCTCCCTTTTTCCCGTTCCTACGATTCAGCCGGACGCAGACCAAACAGCTTCAATATTGAAAAATCGCATCAGGAAACGTAAGCCTGAGCTCTCTAAATGTCAAAACGCTGAGCTCTAGAGCTATGGACGCTGAGTTCTAAGAACGGAGAAGGTGAGCAGAAGAAGCTGGGAGTGAAAAAATGGGAGCAGAAGGCAAAAACGCTGAGAAATGCGAGGCTCAGGCGAGAATGACGTTGGAATGAGGCGGAGGGGTTGCGGAATGCCTCGCCTCTCCTTCCCTCACATCCCAAGTAATGCTCTTGGGTTCTCACCACGCGAGATCTACCGTCCAGAATCAATCAGGCGTTCGAAACAGCTCTCCGAGTCCAGATCGCAGCCGTAGGTTGGAGTTTCCCATTTCACCAACGCGTGTTGAAGAAAAACCCTCGTTCTTGATTGGAATACAGTCTAAACCAGTTGTGCTGGATGGTCCAGTCAGGCTCAGTTTTTCCCCATGACAGGGATATTCGAGAGTCCGCTTCATGGCTGGTCAGGAATCGTTCACGTGGCACGTGAATCTGGCGGTCAGGGAAGGGAACGGAAAATCGCCGACTGTGTACTGCTCGCGTGTCGCCTCGCCGCCTCAGTGGCTACGCGAGTCGAACAACACGGACCCTTTTCAGCGAGCTTTCCGTTAGACAAACGCGGGAGTTGCGGGATTCCTCTAGGTGAACGGTTGACTCGGTGACTTAGTGACCGTCAATTGTCATCTCATCTGATCTGAAGCCCCTCGTCACAGCATACATTGGGAACGCGGGAAACCCAATCGTTTGAATATGAATGAATATGTTCTTCCAACCAATGGGAGCGAAGAGCGTCCTGCCAGGGAAGCAAATTTTAGCCCAGAGACTCCCTGCACTTCGACATGACATTGTGGATTGAGATCCATTGAAGGGGAAACTTTGTGAGGCCGACGATATTCCACGGGGTTCGCAATACACTGTTACTCATTTCCGTCTGCTTGGAGAGTTCGCATCTGTACTTCAACGAACGAATGAGAGGTTTGGTTTCCTGACAAAACTGCATCGTCCAACCAGACAACCAAGTCATGCGTGGAGGGAGCACTGCTCGGAAACGTCGTTTGAAGCCGGCTCGATTATTATACGGTACAATGCTCGTATACATTCATGTTTTTCAACTTTCATAAGAAGTGCTACTGTCTGGACAGCGACAATTGTCTCCTTCAAGGCGTGGTTGACGCGGGCCGCGTAAAACTCCAGAATCCTTCCCAGCCTGGCAAATCAAAGAATGGCCAAACCACTTTGTCGTGCCGTTGAAGCATTCAGCTCCTCCTGTCTCCTTGGAGGACCATGGTGATCAGATCAGGCTGCCCAAACCCGGCGAAGCAAAAGCAAGCCTCACCAACCGACATTCCGCTGGCGCTGATTGGTCCGAGGCATGGCTATCCCAACCAGTCATCACACCACCACCACCATCCCAACAGCGGCAACGCGACAAGCGAACAACCGAGACGAACCAGCCCCCGAGGCACCACCACCCTACAAGCCTCATTACCGGACCTGGTGATGGTAACCACCCTTCCCACTCACCCACCACCCACCGAACAGGCATACAGCACCACCAGTGCCACTACACTCACAGAAGTGGGCCTCCCCCAACCAAGTCCCATTGGACATTTGGTGCAGCTCTTTCCCAGCCTGGCACTCACGCAAACCCACTCGTCTGGGATGTCTCTCATCCCATCTCATCACCTCTCCCATCTGAACCCATTCCATCCCAACAATCAGATGTGGTGCTGGCTGGTGGTGGTGATCGTCAAGCTCTACAAGTTCAGTCCAACCATATCACATCCCACAGCACTGCTCCTTCAGTATTCACGAGCCACAACCCTGAACACATCGCCTAACTTCTCGTCAACGTGATCTTGATTTTCGCCCCTTACTGTGTCATTTCTTTTCTACAGAAATGGCTTCCCTAGATCGATTTCCAGCTGTAAGAGAGTTAGCAGAATCATGCCACACGGATCTGCCCTGGGCTTTCGCCCATCCGCCTCGTGATCAAACCGTGGACGCCCATTTTTCCTCGCTCCGCGCCCACAATTCCCCCATCCACAAACGCAAGGAGCGCAGCATCTCCCCTCCTTCCGCCCTCACCGTTCCGACTACAGGCGCTTCTGGCGCATGTGGAAGCGAAATCGCAGGCCCTTGGAAGACGCAGACATGCAATGCCGCACCCTTCGCATCGTCCGGTCAATGTCCGCCTCCTCTCGTTTTCGTCGCAGACTGCCCGCACGATTGCGCCGCTGACAGCTGGCGCTTTGCCGAGTACGCCACTCCGCGTGACGTCTTTCGTCCCCTTCCAGACGATTTCCGCCAACGCTCCGCCGCCGCCGCCGCCGCCGCCGCCGCCGCTGCCGCCATGAGAGAAACCGGCGCAGGCGCAGCAGCAATGACGCCTGAAAGCCTTGAGGTGCGGTCTCTCGCGTCGGAGATCCCCCCCACGTTCTGGGAGGCGCAACAAGCGCAGAAGCAGCAGCGCCCGCACACTGTGCCGCGCACTGGCGTCCCCTACTTCCGCAGCAGCAGCGGCAGCATCAGAAGGGCGCCAGGGTCGCCGCTGGGAGGCGACGGAATTTCCAAGAACCGCGCTGGGAATGCGTTGGGAAGAGCTAGAGCGCAATTGCAAGGGGCGAGGGGATCGAGGTCGTTGGCAGCGAGAGCGTTGCTCCACGGCTCGGCTCGTGAACGCAGCGGCAAGCGCGGCGGTTTCGATGACGGTGCAGTAATCAACGGTGGGGATGCTGCCGCGTCTGCGGCGACTGGCACGAGTTCTCCTCTGCCGAGCCGAAAGTTCCTGGCTAGGACGTTTAGCGGGTCTGTGGAATGGCCGTCTCGGCTGGAGAGCTTGTTCATGCGACCAGGCTCGGGTAAGGGCAAAGCCCTCGGAGACACCAGTTCAAGAGCAGGGTTTTTCATGGGCAGTGGAAGGAAATTACACGGGTATATTGATGAAAATGAGGAAGCAGAAACGACTGGGGTTCAACACAGCAGGAGTGAAATTATGAAGGAGGTTAGGGGAAGAATTTTGCCACAGGATGTTGACGAGTGTGAAGAGGGGATTGGTGGATCAGCAGATGGTGACCTGGAGGTTCCTCAGACAGTCACTTGTTTTGGGAGATCTAGATGATCACCATCCGTGTAGGTGGCTGTTCATTCTGAGAATTTCGACTAACAGTATATTACATACCATTACTCACTCATACTTGTATCTTATGTAACGTGTACTATATTCACACCTTTGTATCATCACGCATGCGCTGTTGTGTCGGGTATGCGTGATGCTTACCTTTTCGAACATCAAATGTGTGGGAATATCACACAACACCCCTTCGCAAATCAGACAACTGTGCAAGCACATCGAGTGGTTTACTCTGCCCGCCCAGCAATAAACCCAGGACGCGTGCCTCTAGGCTTGGGTGTAACTGTAAGTGCACTGTCGTCAACGAAAACAAATGCTCTTCGCGGACATCAGTGAGATTGCACGCTGTCCAGAAGTTACCTTTGCGAACATTGCGACCGTCAGTACATGTGTCGCTGTAACCAGGCCGAAGGTACCATACCGCCGTTCCGGGCCTACCACCTCGCTTGCCTGCGGCCATATCTAGGTTCTCCTTCCCCAGCAGTAGCTGCAAACAGCACATTCCCCTTTTCCGAGTCTGCCGAGCACCACAGCATACATACACACCACACCACAGCACAGCACAACACAGCACCCCACCCCATCCACTCACACTCACACACTCACACACACACACACACACACACACACACACACACACACACACACACACACACACACACACACACACACACACACACACACACACACACACACACACACACACACACACACACACACACACACACACACACACACACACACACACACACACACACACACACACACACACACACACACACACACACACACACACACACACACACACACACACACACACACACACACACACACACACACACACACACACACACACACACACACACACACACACACACACACACACACACACACACACACACACACACACACACACACACACACACACACACTGATATAACATGCTCAGGCAGCCTGCCTTTTCCTGAGTTACTGTAGGTTCCTCACTTTTGAGTTAGGGCGAGTCAGAAGCTAGGTTCGTGTGCGGTTGTTGAGGCTTTTGTCCGTACCAGGCGTTGCAGTTGGGATGGGATGGGAGTGTAGTGTCGGCGGATATTGCGTCGCGCCGCAAGTTGCGCCTGTTTAAACCATGCGAGTCGCATACTTTCACGATAGCTTCGCGATAGGACAAAATGTCTAGTTTCCGAGTCTCGGTTGCGTTTAGATGGTTTTGACCTCGTGGCGCCTATGTAGGTCTGTTACCTAACGGCCTCAATGTTCCCTATCATAGCTTCTTGGCCAATGCGAAACCCTAGAAGCGATTCATAGCCTCCGTCGATTAATTATTTTATTTGTTTTCTCAGCGCGTGCTTTATTTCTCACTTCAGTAAAGGGCCGCTCGTTGTTCAGGTTAGAGACCATGGATTTTTGAGTCGACTATAAAATCCGCTTATTGCTCATGTTAGAGTATGGCGGACCCGTCCACCGTTTTACAACATTTCCGAGTCGACTCAAACGCCAGTTAAGGCCGGCTCGTTGTTCATGTTAGCCCATGGCGGACCCGACGACGGTTCTAGAAGAGGAGTTCGACGAGAACTACGAGCCGACGCAGGAAGGTGAGCTCACGAATACAATATACTCGTTATTGAGCCGCGCAAAAAAGCCTGCAGGTTTGGACGAGGAGTCGTACGAGGGCTTTGAGCCGACGCGGGATAGGGAGGTAGCCAATACCAGGGAGATATCCATTTTCGTATATGATTTTCTTCCTCCACTGTAGCAACCTCCCTCTGCAACACTGTTAAGTGTTACTTTTCGATCACGAAGGCGCGACGGCTCACACTGAACCGTAGACGCAGCATTGGCAAACAGCTCCTGTGCCTCCGTTTGCCATCGCACTCCCTCCACCCTCCCTCGCTCTCTCGCTCTCTCGCTCTCTTCCTCTTTCGCTCCGTCGCGCGCTCTTACGGCGGCGTTCGAGCAGCCGTTAGCCGAGTTTCCATGCGCCAGCGCTGGCTGATCGTCGAATCTTTACTTATTCATTATTGTGCAGCACTTTTTGTGGCACTTTGATGAGTGGCTCTTAGACGCGTGGCGCTTACGATGTCGGCGCTTAGACGTACGTCGCGTCAACCCACACCTTCCGCGGCCTTTTCCGCCCATTACCGTCCCGCGTGCTGTCCGGAGAGCTTAAGCTGCCGGAGGAGGAGACGCTGCTGTGGGTGGCCCAGCCCATCCCTTGTCACCCCCCCTCCCATTTAACCCCCATTCCCTACGTCCCTCATGCCGCTCCTGTGCTGTGTGCTGTGCCCTCTGCCTCTCCTGCTCCCTCGCAGACATTCTCGAGTACGTGCAATGGCCGGGCATGGAGCTGCCGGAGGAGGAGGGGCTGCTGTGGGTGGCGCAAGAAAGCACCGTCTATATCGGTCGTCCTGATTCCTCTTTCCCCCACCACCCCTCCCCCTGCCTTCCGCCACCCCCGCCACTCTCCACCTCACCCCTCTCCCCAACAGACATTCTCGAGTACGCGCAATGGCTGGGAATGGAGCTGCCGGAGGAGGAGGAGCTGCTGTGGGTGGCGCGGCAGGGGCTCAAGGCGCCGCTGCCGCCCAACTGGAAGCCATGGTGCGTGCTTCGTCTCTTGTGGTGTGATGTGCTGTAGTGAGAAGTCTTGTGTTGAGTGTTGGGTCTGGTCTGAGCTGCTGTGGGTGGCGCGGCAGGGGCTCAAGGCGCCACTGCCTCCCAACTGGAAACCCTGGTGAGTGCCTCGTCTGGTCGTCTCATGGTGCCTCAGAGGGAGGAGGGTTTGAGTTGAGCTGCTGTGGGTGGCGCGGCAGCGGCTCAAGGCGCCGCTGCCGACCAACTGGAAACCATGGTGCGTGCACGTGGCGTGTGTGTGGCGTGTGCGTGTCGCGCACGTGGACGTGCGCGCCTGTGCGTGTCGCGTGTAGCGTTTGAGTCTTGAAATGCGAGTTGCTGATTTGCAAGGCGAAGGATGCCATGGCAACGAAATAACCTTTCTCGTGTGTGTGTGTGTGTGTGTGTGTGTGTGTGTGTGTGTGTGTTTGGCGCGCGCGCGCGTGTGTGTGTGTGTGTGTGCGTGTGTGTGTGTGTGTGTGTGTGTGTGTGTGTGTGTGCGCGCGCGCCCGCCTGCCTGCCTGTGTGTGTGTGTCGAAGGGGTGGGGTGGGGTGGGGAGGGCGGTGTATGTGTGTGTGTGGGGAAGTGGCATGCCAGGTGTCGTTTCCTGTTTTAAACTAACCCCCTCTCCCTCCTCCCCCCTCCCCTCTTCGCCCCGCTTCGCCCCTCCCCGCTCCCTTCCTCCCATCCTCCTCTACCTTCACCAGTCGCACGGACGACGATGAGATCTACTATTTCAACTTCCAGACGGGCGAGAGCGTGTGGGACCACCCCTGCGACGACCACTACAGGTGAATCAACGGCTGTGATTGTGACACGTGGGAGGACGAGTAGTTTTAGATGCGTGATTCCATTACGCACATACCCTGCTGCTTCTCCTTTGACCGTGCTTGTAGTACAATGCTAGATAGCCTTTATGAGGGGATTTGCAGATCTCCTCTTCTTTCAGCAGATCCCCTCATCCCCCGCTCTCACACACCCATCCACTCGCTTTTACCCACTTCTTCACTGTCCCCGAGCCCTGTGAACGGAGGACAAGAACTAGCTCTAGGCCAAGGCTGCTAATTTGCGAGCTTATCCCCTTCCTCCCCCTTTCACCCTCCTCCTCCCTCCTTTCAACCCCCCTGCGCCTTTCCCACCCAGAGCCCTGTACACGGATGAGAAGAACAAGCTCAAGGCATTGAGAACCTTGTTCTAAGGCGCTACCCCTTTCCTCCCCTCCCCCTCCGCCCTTCGCCCTCCCCCTCAACCTCTTCCCCCCTCCAGAGCGCTTTACACGGATGAGAAGAACAAGCTCAAGGCGTTGAGAACCTTGTTCTAAGGCGCTACCCGTTTCCTCCCCTCCCCCTCCGCCCTCCCCCCTCCCTCTCCCCCCCACCTCCTCTCCCCTCCAGAGCGCTTTACACGGATGAGAAGAAGAAGCTCAAGGCGGCAAAGGCAGCAGCAGTACAAGCTGAAGGCGGGTGGGGCAGTTATGCAACCTTATCCCCCTTACTTTCACCACTCCCCACTCCTCTTCTCCCCCTCAGAGCCCTGTACACGGATGAGAAGAACAAGCTCAAGGCGGCAAAGGCAGCAGCAGTACAAGCTGAAGGCGGGTGGGGCAGTTATGCAACCTTATCCCCCTTACTTTCACCACTCCCCACTCCTCTTCTCCCCCTCAGAGCCCTGTACACGGATGAGAAGAACAAGCTCAAGGCGGCAAAGGCTGCAGCAGCAGCCACCACCAGCAGCAGCAGCCGGAGGGGGGCGGGGGGCGAGGAGGCGCGGGGGAGACGCGAGGAGGAGGGGCGGCGGGGGGGACAGGGGGGCGCTCGTGGGGGAGGGGGAGGGGGAGGAGGCGGAGGAGCAGGGGGGAGAGGCGAGGGAGAGGGGAGGGGCGAGGGAGGTGGGAGGGGAGAGGCAGGGGGGCGGGGAGAGGGAGGAGGAGGAGGAGGAGGAGGAAACGGGTCAGCAGCAGGAGGAGCGGGAGGGGGAGGGGGAGGGGGGATGAGGGATGGGGCGGCGGTGAAGGGGGGAGCGCGGGATGGGCTGGTACGGCAGGCGTCGCTGCCCCCACAGCCCAAGGAGGAGCATCGCAACAACCTCTTCCGCCAGGGCTCATTGCAACCCCAGTCCATGCTGCAGGTGGGGTGGGGGGTGGGCAGGGCAGTGCAGGTGGGGTGGGGGGAGAGGTGCAGAGTTTGCTGCATGTGGGGTGGGAGAGGTGCAGTGCTTGCTGCAAGTGGGGTGGGCATTTCATGCTGCAGGCAGGGCGGTGGCTTTCCCAGTGGGGCGGTTGTTCTCAATCGCATGCTCTTCTCCCATCTCCCGAACCCTTCACACCCTCCCCATTGCCCATCCCTTCCCCCATTGCCCATCCCTTCCCCCATGACGCTCCCATCCTCAGCGGAGGCACAAGGTCGTTCCCAAGGGCTCAAGAGACGCCTCCTTGTTTTAGTCGCCTCAAACAAGGCCTTGATCGCCCTCCAACCCGCCCCCCCCTTTCTCCCCCGACCCCCCCCGCTCCCATCCTCAGCGGAGGCGCAAGGTCGTTCCCAAGGGCTCAAGAGACGCCTCTCCGGATTCGCCAAACGCAGGTGTGTATCTGTAGGGGATGGAGTGGAGGGGGGGAGGTGGGTGGGGGGAGGGTGAGCACTGAGCAGGGGATTGAGCTAGCATGAGGAGAGTTCTGGGGTAGGGTGGGTGGGGGGGAGGTTGGGGGCTGCAGAATCTCAACATGAGAGAAAAGTAGGGAGGTGCTGTTTCTCCTCCTCACCCCAGCCCCACCCCTCGCCCTTCCCTTCTCCCCACCCGCCCATTCGTGCGTGCAGGGGTGCCACAGGGGCGAGGGCGCCTCTCCATCACAGACAGCTCAGAGGATGATAGAGGCATGGCGCGCGCTGCTGCTGCTTCCCAGCAGCAAATGAGGCTCCAGCAGCAGCAGCAGCAGCAGCAACAACAGCAGCAGTTTCAGCAGCAGCAGCAAAGGCAGGCGAGACAGCAGCAGCAGCAGGGGGAGCAAGGGCAAGGGGGTAACCAGCAAAGCAGGAGGCCACCGGCCGGGTCGGGAGCAGGGACAGGGGCAGGTGGAGGTTCGGGGGCTGCTGGAGGAGGAGCAGGAGGTGGAGGCTCGGCTGCTGGAGGGCCGGCGGCAGGTTCGGTAGGAGGTTCGGGGCAGGAGGTAGAGCTCCTGCATCAGGTCACGTGGTCTCCCGAACCTGGGCAGGGTCGGCGGTCTCCCATGGCTAGCTCTCTGGCTCGGGCAGGGTCCATGGGGGCTGCTATCAAGGGAAAGCCCACAGTTTTGGAAGAAACGGATGGTGAGCAGTGCAGAGTGGTGCAGAGTGGTCTTGGGTGGTGATAAATGGCTTTGATTGGTGCTGGTGTCTGGTAGGTAAATGTGGGATGGTGGATGTTGGTCTAGGAGGGGACGTATGACGGTGTGAAAGTGATGGATGGATTGACGGACGGACATATGAATGCATAGCTCTGTGCGTTTCTGAAACTCCGAAATACGATCTGCCTTCACCCAATGAACCCCCTGTCTTGTCTCATGCGCCCGTCCCTGTGTTCCCCTTATCTAGCAGAGGAGTGGGAAACGTCTGACGACGAAACGGGCACCAGACCACCCTCGTCCGCCACTGCTGTTGCATCAGCATCAGCACCAGGTGCAGCAGCAGCATCTGGAATCCCAGTCTCACAATCCCCCGGTGGTGTGCCTATTGCTGCTGGGGCAGGGGGACAGGGGACAGGCGCAGGAGCAGCGGGAGGAGGTGGAGGGGGAACAGGGGGAGGTGGGGGTGGGGGTAGAGGGGGCGGCAGAGGAGGGGCCGAGGGTTACCACCAGCAGCAGCAACAACAACAGCAGAAGCATGGGATGGTCCCTCGGAGGACCGGCGGAATGCCGAACCAGAACCAGGAGGTTCGGCGGGGAGCGGGAGGAGCAGGGGGTGGTGGGGAGGGTGGGGGCAGGGGGGAAGCAGGCAGCAGCAGAAGACCGGGGAGTTCTGATAGGGGGGGAGGGGAAGCGGGGGGAGGGGGAGCGGGAGCGGTGGGAGCAGGAGTGGGTGGTGTGGGGGCCGTGGTAAAGGGAGGAGCAGAGGGGAGGGAGGGCAGGGACGGGAGGGAGAGGAGGGAAGAGCGAGGAGAAGGAGTGACGGGGAGGCAGGAGGGGGAGGGGAAGGAGAGGCGGAGGTCTTTGGAGGGGCGGGGGAGTGGCACGGGGGAGAGGGCGGGGGAGAGATCGGCAGAGAGGGGGGATCCAAGGGATGGGCGGGGGGGAGAGGGGGCGGGGAGAGGAGGGCCGAAAAGAACTAGCAGCACAGATGCCCAGGGGGGAGTGGGTAACAGTCAGGGCAATAGTCAGGGCAATAGTCAGGGAATGCAGGGTTATTCAAGAGGAGGAGGTGGGGAGGCGAGTCAAGATGCCCAGCAGAGAGGTGAGTGATGCGCCAAGGAAAAAGATCTTCCCCCAACATGCCCTCTCCCGCTTCTGCCCCTCCGCCTTGCCGCCTCTGCCCCTTCGCCTTGCCCGCTTTGCCCTTTCCATCCTCACTCAATCACACCATCAACTCCTTTTCTGCCTCCGCATCCCCCACCACCCGCCCCCAACCCTCCACACCCTCCCGTTCCGGCCATGCATCAGGTGCCCGTGCCTCACAGTCCGCTGCCGGCATAGCCAGACAGGTGCGTTCTGGAGGCGGGGACATATGCAGAACAGTGCTGCTTGTAACGTACTCTCGCTCTGTTCTCCCGCTTTTTTTTTTTTTTTTTTTTTTTTTTTTAATTTCTTCCGTTCCTCGCTTCGACTATCTCCCTTTCCCGTTTCCTCTGTTACTTAGACCCAGGGCTCCTGGGCCAAGCCAGCAGAGGACTCCAAGCAGCAGCAGCAGCTTTATATGCAATGGATGCAGCAACTCTGCTGGCTTGGTCCAGGAGCACAATATCACTCACTCACACACTCTCTGTCACTCTTCCCCGCTTACTCCGCATCCAGGGCTCCTGGGCCAAGCCAGCTGAGGACTCCAAGCAACAGCAAGGGAGGGCCGCTGCAGCAGCAGCTGCTGCTGCTGCTGCTGCTGCTGCTGCTGCTGCTGCTGCTGCTGGTGCGGGTGCTGGTAGTCCTGCTGCAGCTGGGGGGAATGTGGCTGGGGCAGGTGTATCTGGTGCAGGTGGTGCTGGTGGTGGGGCGCGTAAGGCGTCTGGGCTGGCTGATGGGCGACTTGCAGGGGCGGCGCAAGGGGCCGTGCAGGCTGGTGGTTTGACTGCTGCTGCAGCAGCAGAGAGACAGAAGCGGGAAGGGGAGGAGGCGACGGGTAAAGGAGGGCCAGCTAAGGTGGGTTTGGTGGTGATTGTGAGTGGTTGGTGGTTGGGAGGGAGGGAGGGAGGAGAAGAGGGAGTGTGTGTGGGCTGGTGATGATTGTGGGGATGGATGGCTGAACGCTCATTGATGGATGGCTGTATGTATGGCACATGGGGACTTTTGAGGCGCCTCAAAGCTAACACATGCTGATGGATGGATGGATGGATGGATGGATGGATGGATGGATGGATGGATGGATGGATGGATGGATGGATGGATGGATGGATGGATGGATGGATGGATGGATGGATGGATGGATGGATGGATGGATGGATGGATGGATGGATGGATGGATGGATGGATGGATGGATGGATGGATGGATGGATGGATGGATGGATGGATGGATGGATGGATGGATGGATGGATGGATGGATGGATGGATGGATGGATGGATGGATGGATGGATGGATGCATGCATGCATGCATGCATGCATGCATGGCACATGCGGGGCAGCGGGGACAATCCCTGCAGCAGCATCTCACCCCTGGCCCTCCTCCCTCTCCCTTGCCTCTCACCCTCTTTGTGCTTGCAGGAGCGAGAGCCTCTTGGTCAGGAGCCCAAGGATAAAGATGCTGATGCTGAGGTATGGAGGAGTTTGGTAAGGTGTGGAGGAGTGTGGTGGGGTATGGTAGGGTGTGGCGGGGCATGGTAGGGTGTGGTAGGATATGGTGGAGTGAGGTGTGGAGCTCTGTGCAGGTTCTTGTGAAGCAGGTTCTCCCTAAACCCTGGGAGCATTAGCGGAGTCTCATAGGTAGTACAAGGCACTTGGCAGAGGCGGAGTGTGACCCGCCCTGACCTGCCCTGACCCGCCCTGACCTGCCCTGACCCGCCCTGACTCTCCCTCACTGATCCACTTGGCCTGTCTGCCTCCCCACCCTCCAGGACGACGAGGTGACTCGCCTTCGCGAGACAGCAGCGGCGGCGCGGTACGAGGCAGGATGGTGTTTTGAGACGTCTCAAAACGAGGCAGGGTGGTGTGAGTGCAAAGCAAAGCGTTCATCTTGCCATCTTCGCCCATCTTCCCAATCTCTGGCCTGTCTTCTCCCCTTTCCCCCCCACCCATCCTCAGGACGACGAGGTGATTCGCCTTCGCGAGGCAGCAGCAGCGGCGCAGAGGCGAATAGCGCGGTACGAGGCGGAGTGTGACGGACCCTCACTCGCCCTGACACTCTTGCCATGTCTGCCCTTCCCCTCCCCATCCCCTCCCACCCACTCACCAGGATGATGAAGTGATTCGCTTAAGGGAGGCAGCAGCAGCGGCACAGAGGCGAATAGCATGGTACGAGGCGGAGTGTGACCCATCCTCCTGACTCACCCTTACTCTCTCGGCCTGTCTGCCCCCTCACCCTACAGGATGATGAGGTGACTCGCTTAAGGGAAGCAGCAGCAGCGGCGCAGAGGCGAATAGTGCGGTACGAGGCGGAGTGTGACGGGCGGCTGGCAAAGCTCAAGGCGGAGAGGGAGGCGCTGGTGCGGCGCAGAGAGGCGGAGATCACACGGCTGGCAGAGCAGCTGGGCACGGTGAGTGCTGCAACTGCCTCTTATGCTTCAGGTCCTGAGGGGTATATTGAAGCTCAAGGCGGAGAGGGAGGCGCTGGTGCGGCGGCGAGAGGCGGAGATCACCCGGCTGGCGGAGCAACTCGGCACGGTGAGTGCTGCGACTGGTTTGAGGGGCGCTTTGCCTGCACAGGACTGGTCCTGGTGCTTTCTGAGGTGCATTTAATTTTGTCGCGACTGGCTTTGAGAGCTCAAGGCGGAGAGGGAGGCGCTGGTGAGGCGGCGAGAGGCGGAGATCACACGGCTGGCGGAGCAACTCGGCACGGTGAGTGCTGTGACTGGCTCTTCTGCTGCTTCCTGAGGGTGATTGAAGAAGTGCTGCTGCGGCAGGGTGAGTGCTGCTGCTTCGTCTCAAAACACTTCCTGAGGGGCATTTGGACTTGTCCGACTGCATCCGGTGCTTTCTGAGGTATCGCCCCCATCCTAGTCACACAACCAGCCGAGCCTATCTGACAGCTGTTGAATCGGACTCGACTCAATCATCTGCCATTCCCCTTTCACTCCCCCTGTCCCCCCTTCTCAACCAGCCCTTTGACGCCGGAGCACTCACCCAAGCCCGTAGTGTAGCAGTGGACGAGGGGAGAGCGCTTAGCACGAGGGAGAGAGACGCAGCCGTGGCAGCAGCCAAGGAGGAGGTGGAGCGGGAGAGGCAGCGAGGCAGCAAGAGAGCAGTGACTCAGTCTGTTCATTACCCCTTCCCCTTCCACCCCTTTTTTGAGTCGACTCAAAAATTGACTCAGTCTTTTCCTTACCCCTTCCCCTTCCACCCCTTTTTTGAGTCGACTCAAAAATTGACTCAGTCTTTTCCTTACCCCTTCCCCTTCCACCCCTCCCCTGTCCTGCCCTCCGGCACAGCCCTTTGACGCGGGGGCGCTGACACAAGCGCGCAGCGTAGCGGTGGACGAAGGGAGGGCGCTCATCACACGGGAATGTGACGCAGCGGTAGCATCAGCCAAGGAGGAGGTGGAGCGGGAGAGGCAGCGAGGCAGCAAGGCAGTGAGGCTTATATGGATCAACCCCCTTGTCTTGCCCCTCCCAACCAGCCTTTTGATGCAGGGGCACTCACTCAAGCGCGCAGTGTAGCAGTGGACGAGGGGAGAGCGCTCATCACGAGAGAACGTGATGCAGCCGTAGCATCAGCCAAGGAGGAGGTGGAGCGGGAGAGACAGCGGGCCATGGCTGTGCTCCGAGAGGAAGCTTCCCTGAAGGTGGCGCTGGAGCGGCGGCACCTGCAGGTGGATCCTCAGGTGGTGGCGCTGGTGAACCTGGAGGAGGTGGCCCGGCAGCAGGAGTTTCTGAACCGGTGGCGGGCGGCTCTGGAGCAGGAGAATGTGAGTGGGGGGAATGGGGGGTACAGGTACGGGGATGGGAGGAGCAGGTGAGGGGGTGGGGAGTGCAGATGAGAGCATGTGCGCTGGGTGGCGCTGGTGAACCTGGAGGAGGTGGCCCGGCAGCAGGAGTTTCTGAACCGGTGGCGGGCGGCACTGGAGCAGGAGAATGTGAGTGTGGGCAGGGTAGGCGGTCTGTGTTTAAGGGGGAAAAGGTGGGGGTTGGATATGTGGGGATGGGGCTGGGGGTGCAGGTGAGGGGGTGGGGGATGGGAGTTGGAGATGAGAGGATGGGGGTGGGAGGTGCAGGTGACTTTTGAGGCGCGTCAAGAGGTGGTTCGCCACCAGGGGTTTCTCAACCGCTGGCGGGCGGCACTGAAGCAGGAGAATGTGAGTGGGAGGGATGGAGCTGGAGGTGAGGAGGTGGGGGGTGGAGGTGAGGTAATCTAAGTATATCAAGTCCGTACACACTTCCGTTACCTTATCCTTTTCCCTTCACCCTCTACCCACCCCTTTCTCTCTTCCCCTCAGCCGCAAGTCCTAGCCAGATGGAAGGCGGCAGCAACGGAGGAGGAGCAGCGAATGCTCGAGCTGGCGCGGAGAGAAGCAGCAGCACGGGTGGAACGAGTGGTAGAGCAGGAGGAGCGGCGGGAGCGAGAATCAGCCCTCAAGGGAATCAGGGAGCGGGTTCGGGCGAAGCTAGGGGAAGAGGAGAGGCGGATAGTCGCCCAGGAACGGGCAGAAATGGCGTCCCGTGTTGCCGAAGCTGTTGCGGAGGAGCGGGAGCGGCTCGTGGAGGCTCGGCGGAAGGAGGTGTTGGATCGGGCGGAGCGGGAGGCTGGGGAGGAGGCGGAGAGGAGGAGACAGGCTCGGCTGCTTGAGGCTTGGAGGAGGGTAGAGGCTGAGGTGGAGGGGGTGCAAGAGGAAGGGTGGGAGAGTGTGGTTGGGAGGGCGAGGGGTGTTGCGGAAGAGGCAGGGATTGCAATGGATGGAGAGAAGTTGAAGATTCTAGAGATTGTGCGGTGGTCGCTGGAGGAGGAGAGGAAAGAGTTGAGTGAACAGAGGGTGGCTGAGGTGGTTGAAGCGTTAAAGGAGGAAGAGAGGGAGGTTGTAGCGCGGATGAAGAAGGAGAAGGGGGTGAATGGGGAGGTGGTGGGTGCTGATGGTGCTGGTGGTGCTGTGACCGCTGCTTTGAAGGCTCGGGCCGAGGAGGAAGCTGCTGGGAAGCTGGAGAGGTTGAGGAAAGAGGCGGAGGAGAGAGTGAGAGAGCAGGCGAGAGGAGAGGAAGCTGCGTTGCTGGCTAGAAGGAGGGGGGAGATGGAACAGAGGGCTGAAGCGTTGGGTAGAGGAGGGAAGGGCGCGGTGATTCAGCTAGAGAAGGATTTACTGGAAGGGGAGTTAGGAGAGAAGATTGCCCTGATGAGGAAAGAGGCGGAGGAGAGAGAGGTGCGGGAAAGGGAGAGGCTTAAAGCGAGTATAGAGAAGCGGCTAGAGGAGGCAGTGGAAGGGGAGGAGAGGGCGATGGAGGGGGTGGTGGAAGAGAGGAAGAAGGAGATGAGAGAGAGGGCGAGGCGGGCTGTGCAGGAGGAAGAGAAGAAGCTTCTAGAAGAGATGCGAGCGCAGGTTCGAAAGAAGGTGGAGGATAGGTTCGGCGCCGAGGCTGAGAGCTGGGCAGGTTCGGTGAGGGAGGAGTTGATGGAGCAGGCGAAGAGGGAGGTAGAGGAGGAGGTGGAGGAGTGGCGGAGGAGGGAGCTTGCTGGTGCTGGGGTGAAGGGGAGTGGGAGGAAGGGTAGGAAGAGAGGAGGGAAGAAGGAGAAGGAGGACGGGGGAGAGGAGGAGGATGAGGATGGGGAGGAGGAGGAAGAGGAGGAGTTGGAAGAAGAGAGGGAGGTGAGGAGGCAGGAAATGATGGAGGAATTAGAAAAGGAGGTTGAGACGGAGAAGCAAAGGCGGTGGGAGGAAATGGAGGAGGATCTTATCGGCCAATGGGAGGCCAAGAAAGAGGAGCGGCTCGCTGAGCTGGCGCGGAAAGTGGACGCTGACGTGGCGGAGGGGTATGAGAAGTTGAGAAGGGAGAAGGAGGAGGAGATCGAGCGGAAGATCTGGGAGCAGAAGGTTGCTGAGGTGGACGGGCAGATTGGAAAATTGCTCGAGGAGGAACGGGCAGTTCGGCTGCAAGCTGCCCGAAAAGTCATGGATGCTTCGTTGAGAAAGCAGATTGCGAGTGAGAGAGAGGAGAGTTTGGGGCAGATGAGGAAGGAATGGGATGAGATGGAACCAGAGCAGCAAGAGGCATGGGTGGTGCAGCAGCGGGAGGAGAAGGGGCGGAGGATGGAAGAAGAGATGAAGAGGCGGGTAGAGGAGGAAGTGAGGGGTTATAGAGAGAGAATGCTGGCGACAGTGGCTGCAGAGGAGAGGGAGGTGAGGTCGAGAGAGAGCAACAAGAGAGACTTGGTGAGGATCGAGCGGGAGTATAAGCGGCAGAGGCAAGAGATGGAACTGAGAGCCTCGCATGCTCTAGAGGCTTTCAGAACGGATCTGAGCGTGAGGCTGGAGAGAGAGAAGCTGAGACTGAGACGGGAAGCGAAGCATGCTTTAGAGAGGTATGAGATCGAGCTGGATATTAAGGTGGAGAAAAAGGTGGAGTCTATGAGGGTAGACCTGCAGATTAGGTTAGAGGCTATGCGGAGGGAGATGGAGGTGACTCTGAGGAAGAAGGTAGAGGAGGAGCGGGTGAGACGGCTGGAGATTCTGAGCCGGGAGTTGAAGGCCGAAGAGAGGGAGATGAGGCGAGGGTGGAGGGAGCTTATGGCGCAGGAGGAGGCCAAGGTGAGAAGGCAGTACGAGCAGAGAAGGAATTTGTTGAGTAATGCGCTAGAGAGTGAGTCGAGTGGTGTGGAGGGGAGAGGGGGCGGTGTGGGGGGAGAGGATGGGAAGCAGCGAGGGGGTAGGGGAGCGAACCGGAACCCGCACCAGCAGGTTGGGTTCGGCGGGTTAGGTTCGGGTGGGGTAAGGGGGATGGGTGGGGGCGGAGGGGGGATGTTTGGCGGGATGGGGGGCGGGATGGGGGGAATGGGGGGGATGGGCGGGATGAGGTTGATGGATGGGAGTGGGGGGAGTGGAGGGGGATTCCGGCTTTTAGAGGTGGCTAATGAGAAGGTGGGTGGGGGCGGGGAGGGTATGGAAGGGAGAGGAGGAGCGAGAGGGAGAGTGGGTGGCGGAGGAGGGATGGGAGGGATGGGAGGGGGCGTAGGGGGAATGGGTGGGGGTAAGGTGGAAGAGCTAAGGAGTGGAGGGGAATCAGATGTGAGTTTGAGTCATGGGTTGAGTGCTAGTAGGGAGTTTGAACCGGGGACAGGGGAGGACAGAGGGAGGAGAGGCAGAGGGAAGGGAGTGCGGCGGAGAGGGGAGCGTGGGGACGGGGAAGAGGGAGAGGAGGAGGAGGGAGAAGAGGAGGAGGAGGAAGAGGAGGAAGAGGAGGGAGAGGGGTTGGATCTGGGGCAGGGGCGAGGGGGGCTAGGGGGGATGGTGGAGGAGGGAGGGTCTATGTCTGAAGAGTCAGAGCAGCTGGAGGGACAACACGACCGGCAGCATCAGCAGCAGCATCACCAAGAGAAAGCCAACACAGCAGGAGCGGCAGCAGCCGGCGGGGCAGCAGCAGGAGAGGCAGGGGCAGGGGCGGCGGCGGCGGCAGTGGGTGGTGAGGTGGCTGTGAGTGCAGCGAGTGGGCTTGGGAGTGCCGAGCCAGATCGATCTGATGAGGCTGATAGCAAGAAGGACGTGGACTCGCTCCCCCCTGAGGCCACAGGGGGAGGCGCTGCAGCATGGGGTGCAGGGGGAGAGCGGGGGGAGAGGGGGGAGCGGGGAGAGGTAGGGGCGGATGGGGCTGGCGGGTTAGATGTGGGGGGAAGAGACGGAGGGGGAGGGGTGAAGGTGGGGGGTGAAGCAGCAGGGGGCGGCACAGCAGCGGGAGGGGCGGAGGGGCAGGGAACAGCAGCAGCAGTAGCCTTGGGGCCGCATCCATTGGGATCTCCTGACGATTCGGGAAGCAACTTCGGGGAAAGTTCATCAGAGCTCCCGAGGTTGACGCTGGGGGGGGCGGGCGGGGAGGGGGAGGCAGCGGGGTTGGCGGGGGATTGGATGGGGAGGGGATGGGCAAAGCCAGGGCAGAGGCGGTCGCGGAATCGCAACAGCGGGAAGGCAGCACGCCAGCCGAATGACGTTGCGGATTACTATTCGGAGTGGAGCGAATCAGGCTCGGATCTGGTGAGTTTAGCCACGTGATAACAGGTTTGCTTTGAGACGTCTCAACACAAACCTGTTATCACTCCGTGTGGAGCGAGAGTTTGGTGAGTTTTAGGTCAACTCAAAGGTCACCCCCCGAGGAATCGCAACAGCCAGAAGGCGGCACGGCAGCCGAATGACGTTGCGGATTATTACTCCGAGTGGAGCGAGCCGGGCTCTGACCTGGTGAGCTCTTCAGCTCCTCTCAACCGTTCTCCACTCCACTCACCTCCTCTCAACGCCTTGCAACGCCCTCTAAACCCCTCTCTACCCCTCTCGACGTTGGACCTGTGTCTGTACTTGCAGGAGCTAGCGGATAGGGAGTTCAGGGCAGGGGGCGGCAGGAAGGGCATGGACAACGGGGACGAGCTCTTTGACGAGGAAGGCGTGCCCTTCAGGTGAGTCATCAGGTGCCTTTCAGGTGGGTATTCAGGTGCCCTTCAGGTGAGTCGTCAGGTGCCCTTCAGGTGGGTTGTCAGGTGCCCTTTAGGTGGGTTGTCAGGTGCCGTTCAGGTGAGTCGTCATGAGCCTTTCAGGTGATTTGATGACCCTCAAATGAGTTTATGTGTGCCCTTCTGATGAGGCGTTGGATTTCACGGTGCTACGAAATAGAGCATTGGCCTGGATGGAGTTGAGACTCATTCCAATTTCCACCCCCGTTGAATCACACTTCGCACTTTCGAGACGTCTCAAAAGATTTCACGGTGCTACAAGAGAGAGCAGCAGCTTTAAGTGGAGACTCATTCCCCCCCCTTTGTATCACACATCGCACTTGCTCCCCCCCCCCTCCCCCACCGGTGAGCGCGCGTCCATGGTGGAGCAACCGAAGTCATTTGCAGCGGAGCAGCAGAAGTATCTCAAGGAGCGCCAGGCTGTCATTGAAGCTGTTCCATATTGCCCTGCTTGTATCCCCCTTGCAAGGCACGACTGGCTGATTATCCCCCTACTGCCTGCCCTGTTCTCGCCCTGTGGTGTGCCGTGCCCCACCAGTGAGCGGGCATCCATGGTGGAGCAAGCGAAGCTGTTTGCAGCGGAGCAGCAGAAATACCTCAAGGAGCGCCAGGCTGTCATTGAAGCCGCCCGGCAGGACTGGCAGAGACAGATGGCTGCCGCCCAGGAGGTCTCAGATGAGGACGACAGACGCCGCCGCATCCAGCACCTGACGGATCTTAAAGCCACGTTGGACCAGCATGTTAGGGAGCTGAATGACGACGCCAGGCATGTCAGTCAACTGAAGAAGAATCTGCTGAGTTTTTCCAGGAATGGGGCGAATAGTGGGGCAGGGAGTGGGCCTGGTGCGGGGAGTGGTGGCGGGAGCGGGGATTTCGGGAGGGGAGGGAGGGGAGGGAGAGGGGAGGGAGGGAGGAGGGACGGGGGAGCGGGAGGGAGGGGAGGCGCGGGCGGGAGAGGGGAAGGGGGAGTGGGGATTCCGCCAGGTGGCGGCGTGAGATTGGATCAGAATGGGCCGCTGTTGAATTTCCCGCCGGATGCGATTATGTCCCGAGCCTCGTCGTTTGCTTCGGCGAGCATGGGTCGGGAGAGCTTTGATATTGATGAGATGATGGGAGGGCTAGGTTTGGAAGGGCCCTGGTCCAGACCAAGTCCCCGAAGCAGCCTCGGAGGTATGGGAGACATGATGGGAGGTTCGGGTGGAGCAGGAGTGGGGGCAGGCGCGAGAGGGGCAGGGATGGGGGGAGGAGCAGGGGGGGGGAGTGGAGGCATGGGGATGGGGATGGGAATGGGGATGGGTGTGAGGGGCGGCAGTGGTGGTGCCAGCAGTAGTATGGGGGGAAGGGGATTCGGTGGGGGAATGGGAGGGGGAATGGGTGGGGGGGGGATGGGTCGAGGAGGCGGGATGGGGGGAGGTGGGATGGGGGGGATGGGAATGGGGGGAGGCGGGATGGGGGGAGGAGGGCTGGGGGGAGGAGGGCTGGGAGGCAGGGACTCGTGGTTTGACGAGGTGTATGGGTCTAGCTCTGCTGTTACATCGCCCACCCTCTCCCCGCCCGGCATTGCCGGCAGAAATATCTTCCAGGGGGAGTTTGACCTGGGGGAGGGGAGTGGCGGAGGGGGGAGCGGCGGGGGGAGGATGGGGGGAGGAGGAATGGGAATGGGGGGAGGCGGAGGGCTGGGAGGAGGGGGTGGGAGGAGAGGAACGGGGATGGAGGAGGGAGGGGCGAGGAGGGGCGGGGGAGGGGGAGGGGGAGGGGGAGGGGGAGGGGGAGGGGGAGGGGGAGGGGGAGGGGGAATGGAGGTGGAGGGCGGAGGAGCGGAGTTCAAGTTTGGGAATCTGCTGCCTGGCGTTCAAGCACAACCCGATCCGCTGTGAGCCTCTCACTTTGCCCACTCTGATAGCTGATTGTGTCTTGGTGCGTGCTGTGTGGTGTGTGTGCTCTTGGAATTGTATCCTCCTTGGGATTGTATCTTTTGTTTGACTTCTACTGTTGTCGTACCTTCACACGCTCCCTTCTCCCTTCTCCACCCCTTCCTACCGCTCTCCACACCTGCAGGCGCAGGAATAGGGAAGCGGCTCGAGCAGCAGGCAGTGGCAGCGGCGGCGGCGGCGGCGGCGGTGGGGGGGGTGGTGGTGGTGGTGGTGGTGGCAGTCTATTTTCTCTTGAAGACTCTCCCACAGCTCGTGACATGGACGCGCGGGGTGATATGAGGGCCGAAGGAAGGGTGGAGGGGAGGATGGGGCGGGATGTTGATGGGAGGGAAGGGCGTGAGGTGGAGGGCCGAGGGGGGAGGGAGGCGGGCGGGAGAGCAACGGCGGCTGGGCATCGGTTGTCGAAGCTGCAAGACGAATCGGGTGTTGGGAGTGGCAGCGGCAGAGAGCAGGTGAGACATAGTGTGAGTGTATGCATGTGGGGGGGTGGGGATGGGGTGTGTGTGCGTCCATGTGTGGTTGGGGTTCGATGTGTGTGTGTGTTCCCTTGTATGTGTGTGTGTGCGTGCTGGTGTTTGTTTCAGCCATTTGTCAGGCAGGTGGGGTGTGAGATTAGTTGTCGCGTGTCCTTTGGATTGGGTAGGGGAGTGAGGGGTTGGTAATGGATGTACAATTCAAATAAGGTCTTTTCCCCCACCCTCCCACATTGAGTCAGGCGTCTCGGCAAAGAGGAGCGCACAGTGGCTCGGGTCAGCATCAGCAGGGCCGCCGCTCCTCTATGGATGGATGAGCTCTTAAAACAGACACCTTGAGTCAACTAACACCACCAACACTCGAATGTTTTCTAGAGAGCCCTTTGGAATGCCGTTGTTTGCCTGAACACAATTATTTGTTCATTTACCTTTACAGCATTGCTTGGCAAAGTAGCTGGCAATGGCTTCTAATTATGGATGTAAGTGCTTGCCATTGTTGCATCATGAGTAATACTGCAAAGAATAAGTTCACTGTTCCCGTGTGTATCAGTGCTTGCGTCGCATCCACGCATAGCTGGACCTTTTGAAACTACACACGAGCCAATCAAGCACTACGTTCAGGCGCTGCGAAAAAAGGGGACTGTCATCACCAGCTTTCGCGGGCTTTCGAGAAACGGCACGAGTGTCTCATCTTCGGCTTCGCATGTCGCAAGGTGAAAGTGCCCATCAATCACGCGCAGCCAATGGTACATTCTGCTCGCATGTGCGCTTCGCATTCCCAATTCGGCGACTCGAATTTTCTCTCAACTCCCGCGCACCGCTTGGTCACACATCAATTTTTTTAATGCGCCTGACCATGAGTCGACATGACATGCGCTGCTCTCTCCCACCCACTTCTCGTCATCTTATCTATTTAGTTATCAGCTCCGCCAAATAACCAACAATAGCGCTTTATCTCATTCCACGCGAAGCATTTCAGGCCTTCACGATTTTTTGGGTCAATCAAGCTGTTACTCATTTTTAACAATGGCGACCACACCTCTCTCCCCGTCGGCCTTTCTTGGCGTGCAGCTTAGCTCGCGACTTCCCGCAGCATGTGACACGACAGGCGACAGCTCTCTCTCAGGCAGCAGTGCTGCTAGGATCGCCAGCACGACGACGATGGCGGTAATGGGCCCCTCGTGGCCGCATTCCGATGCGTCGTTTGACTCGTCGCAACACTGGCTGGCGAATCCTAGCGATTCGCAGAACGTACCCCCGGCGACGCCCGATTTTCATCGTCCTCATCGCTCCCTCGCCTCCCCGCCGAACGCAGCCAGCGCTCCTGCTGAGGCTTATGCTGACGTGGCTGGTTCCCTTCGAGCGAACCGGATTTTGAGGATTCCGCCAGTCGCGCCGCAACGCACCCTTCCCGGTCTAACCCTCACTCCTAAGAAGGCGAATAAGAAAGCCCTGGTTCACCGCGGGCCGGATGGGTCGGTCCCGGTGCAGATTAACGCGGGAAAGGCGCCGGTTTTTACGGCGGAGAAGGCGCGGAAGCTGCGGGAGATGCTGAAGGAATCGGAGACGCATCACGACACGATGTACCACTCTGGCATCGCATCCAGACTCGCGCAATAGTCTTGACTCGTGCAATTGTCCCGATTGGCAGTCGGTCAAGTGATTGCAGCGATGCTTGCACTGCACCCGGGTTATGCAATTGCTCCATAATCGGCAGAGGAGATTTCCCAGCGGCCTCATTCGCCACTAATGATATTGAAGCCGACACTCTGAACAAGCGAGCTGCCTTCTGTCTGCTGAATTCCGGCTTCCAGCCTGCTCGTTCGCCCAGACAGACCAGCTCGATCATCATATTTAGTCGAACCTATGCGGCTGACTGTGGTCGGAGTGGGGTGGTCCACCCTAGCTCAAACCCACCACCAGATGCGGCTGGTGGATTTTGCGCCCTGTATTGTTCAGCCAAAACAACCCCCAATTTTGCCCTGACTGAGGTTAACTACATTTTGTTGTATTGCGGTACACCATCATACTGGATGCATATATACTGTGGTATTCTCCCGGCAGACAGAAAGAATTGTAGACAGTGATACATATAATTGGTTTAAAGAGCTACACCACATTTGTCTGTATTTTTCATCCGAGTAGTTTGTTATTGAGCGACCCCGGAAGCACCTGCGGAAGGCTCGCGCATTCGACATTTCCAGCGAAGGCACGATTCTGCCATGTCACCTCTCGTCTCGCGCACACCCTCCACACATCCCATCCCACTACCAATTTCCCTGCTCGCATCCTGCCCCTCTTCATCCTCCTCAACCCGTCACATCCGTCTGTCCATTCGCCCATACCTAGAAATTCCCGCTTTTCACCAACACCACACGATTGTTGCGCCACGGCGATTGGTAGTAGAAATTCCGATAGGGCAGACGGAACGAAAATCATTCTGATGAGGGTGTTGGAAAACTCACGCAAGCAGCTCCTGTCGTGAATGAATTCTTGCTGCGTGGTTTGTGCGTGGCACGGAAGACGGGTAAATTCGTCGTCGTCGCGGCCACTTGGGCTTTCCTCTGCGAAATCCACGACGATTTCGGTGAGGTGGCGGTTCGTCAGCCCTCTTAGTACTCAGAGCCGAGTTTGTTTCACGGTCCGACGCCGTCATGGCAGCGTTTGCGCAAGACGCGGCGGCGTCAGTCGCGGCGGGGGGGGCGCCTCCATCTACCGGGTCAGAGCCTCTCTCATCATTCCTCATTCTACCCGAAACGCGCGCGCTGACGGGAAGAGCTGTTTCCCCCACTTTACTCCCACGCGCCAGCAGTCACACACAACTCGTACTCACAGACGTCCCAGTTCCCCCGTTCCCCCGTTCCAGCGTTTTTCCCGTTTCCCGGTTTTCGCCTATGTTCCACGATCGCAGGGTAGAGGCCATTCAACCCGCGCGTCGCTTCTCCAAGGCGCCTGACTTCTCTCTCCTCACGCCCATCGTCGTACACTTTCTGCCGAGGAAACAAGAGTTGCGATGACACAGACCATGAGCAAAAACGAGCTCCCACTCGCGACGGTCATCGTGGAACCGTAAGCGAGCTTCACGAAAGGACGGACGACAGAAAGAATTAACGCCAACTTCACCTGGAGTAAATCGCCAGCCTCAACGATTCACGTGGCGAGAATTGCTTCGGCTGAATGCCGCTTGGCGTCGTCGAATGTCGCAAGAACATTTCTCGTAACGCGTCTTTTCCAATACCAACAATGAGAATAGTGGGTCATGTTATACAAAACTACATAGTATAGTGGGTTAGTGACTAATCAAGGCAGTTAATAAGACCCTCATCTATTAACTACAGCAATTATTCTCACTCTACCACATAGCTCCTCCCAACACCACTGCATCTTTCCCCTGTGCCTCGGCAATAACTTCCAATAGCCATTTTTTTAGCAGCTCCAGCCGTCGGGGCCCTACCACCACCCTCACACCCTTCCTCTTCACTCCCAGACAGCTCCTAAACTCCTTCCTGCGCCTCCTCGCGCCCTTCACATTTTCCTCTTCTTCTCGCTCCCCATTCCGGCGGCGTTTCCTATGCAGCTCTTTATGTTCTTGAAAGCAGGCTTGACTACCTCCACATCCGCTGGCCTTTCCTGCTGTCCTTCCTTCTGCTCCTTCTGCATCTGCTGCTTCTCCTGCTGTGGCTGCAGTTGCTGCTGCTCCTGCACATCTTGTAACACGCTGCCTCTTTTTTCAATCTGACGCATGCCTTCACCACCTTTCCTGGTCGCACTCTGCGCCAGCAGCACTCGAATCAGCCCACTGCTCCTGCACTCCCGCAACTCCCCAAGAATGCTGCCGCCAATGCTTCTGCTGCCAGTGTGAACGTTGATGACGCTGCCGTTGCTCACACTGTTCCCACCAATGCTGCTGCTGCTGTTGGTACTGCTGCTGCTGGTACTGCTCCTGCTACTTCCGCTTATGCTGTTACTGTCAGCATTCCCCGCTGTCTCTCCAGCCACTGCTGCCACTGACTCTGAATATGCAACTTCAATAGCACTTCGACTACCACTGATTGCGTTGCAACTGGTGCCCAAATGGCCTGCAGCATCAACAGCAGCCATCCCAGCAGCAGCTGAGGTTCCACGGTAATTCGTCACACTGTCCCCACCACCCAAAACTGCAGCCGCAGCAGAAGCAGCAGCAACCGCAGCAGCAGCTGCAGAAGCAGCTGCAGCAACAGCATCAGCAGCACTGACCCCTCCTCTTACTCCCAACCGTGCCGAACCTCCTGCCGAGCCTAGCGACGCGGTTCGGCCGAGGATGGTCCGGGGAGGGGTGGCAGCAGGCGACAGGGAGGAGTCCATACCAGTGGAGGGGAGGAGGGAGGAGGGAGAGGAGGAGTAGGGCAGTTGGGAGTGGGAGTGCTTGTGATTGGCTCCTCGAATCACAGCTGAAGTGAGGCGGCGGCGAGGGTTGATGCTAGTGGTGGTGGTGGTGGTGCTGCTGCTGCTGCTGCTGCTGGTGGTGGTGGTGGTGGTGGTGGTGGTGGTGGTGGTGGTGGCAGTGGTCGTGGTGCTGGTGCTGGTGCTGGTGCTGGTGGCAGCAGGCAGCGTGCTGCTGGGGTTGTTTGACTTGGTATTGATAACCGATGATGGGGAGGGCTTGGGGAGGCGAGCAGGAGAGTTAGTGGAGGGGAGAACAGGAGCACAGGCGGGATCGCTCTTGCCAACCGTCATGCCTATCCGAGAATGTTCGCCTTGATTTGTTTCAACACGACTTGTGCATGTGCACATGGCAGCAGCCTCACTTCCTGCGATATCTTTGCTAAGGGCGTCGTCGTGAATAGCCACGCCCAGGTCCCACTTCCGGAGAACATCTTCCAGCCTCACTCCTCGGTGAAACGGGTCACTAAAAAACGAGTCACTGTCGCTGCCGCTACCGACAGCAGCAGTGCTTTCATCAACACGTGCAGTAGCAGCAGCAAGTGTGCTGCAAGTCACAGCAGCGTTACCAGTATCCGCAGCAACTGTAGCAGCAGATGCAGCTGCACCCACCTCAGTGCCCTCCTTACCCTCCTCTGTAGCCGACAGACCCCCTGCAATCACCTCACCCTCACCACCACTCCCTCTATTCTCAAATGAGAGAGTTAGGGGGGGTGGAGGAGCACAGAGGGACGGCGTGCCGTCCAGGAGAGAGGAGGGATCGAGGGGGGAGCAGGGGAGGGAGTGTGCGGTGGGGTTGGGGGGGTGGAAGGAGAACACGAGGTCAGGGGAGCAGGACGAGTCGGTGGAGGAGAGCTGATCGAATCGGGGCTGGAAGAACCCGTCGAATGGGAAGTAGTCCTGTGCTGCCACGTGCGGTTGGGCTTCAGGCTGCTCAGCAGCTGCTGCAGCAGCAGCAGCACCGCCACTAGCCACAGCAGCAGCAGCATTAACAATGCCATCGGCAGCAGCAGCCGCCGCAGCAGCAGCAGCTTGGTCAGCATCATCACCATCCGACTGAGGCGAGTCAGCAGTAGCACCACCACCATCACCAGTAGCTGCAGCGCCGCCACTGCCACTGCTGTTGCTGCCGCTGCGACAGCTAGTGCTGCCAGTGCTGGTGCCGCCATTCCCGCCACCAACACTGCTGCTACCGCTGCTGCTGCTGCTCGTGCTGTCGCTGGTGAGCGCATTTGTAGGCACCCGCCGCTGCCACTGACCGCTACTCCCGCTCTTCACCAACCCATCATCCTCTCCCTCCTCTCCCACCTCGCCCTCCTCGCCCTCCCCTCCCTCCCCTCCCTCCCCTCCCTCCCGCTCGCCGATACCACTGTAAAGCTCCTCTTTCTCCTTCTCCCCGCTCCCACTGCCTGCCCTCCTCCCCCTCTTCCCCTTCGTGCCTCTCTTCGCCCTCCTTCCCCTCTCTATCCTCTCACCATCATCGCCACTACCCTCACCAGACTCACTGCTGCTGCTGCTGCATTTGATACTAATCACGTCGTCGTTATAAAACGGGTTCCACAGTTCAACCATGCTGCATGCCTCCCTATCGCTCGCCTCTCTTGCTGCTCCTCCGTCCACCGAGTTCCCCCCATGCCCCCTTGCGCCTAACACCTTTCCGCCTCCCCCTATCCCCTGTCTGACACCTCCCCCGCGGGGCTCCGCTGCGCGCTCTCCGCCACCGCTTTCCTCCCCTTTCTCGCCTTGCGCCTTCTCCGCCTCCTCTGCCCGCCCTCTTCCTTCCGCTCGCTCCGCTTGCGCGCTTCCTGCTACGTCACCAGGCACGTCCGCGCAAGCATCTCTTGTAGCCGCACTTGCGCCGTTCCCCGCACTTGCGCCGTTCCCCGCGCTTGGGCCCTTCCGCGCACTTGCGCTGGCCTCGCCAGATGCGCCGTTCCCCGCTCTCGTTGCCGCCGGCCTCTCCTGAAGCGCCGCTTCGGGTTTTACAATAACTACAGACGCCGGCGGCCTTTTTGAAAATGCTGCCGACCGACCGGAGCCGCCGTCTCCGCTTGCTGTCGTGCCGGCCGCAAAATCGCGCAGCCGTCCGTTGCCGTCCAAACTCCGCGATTGCCGCCGTTCCACGTCCACCAGCGCGCGCCCCGCGCCGCCTTCCCACGGCGATCTCGCGTCGTCGTGTTGATTGCGAAGACGCACGGAAGATACTCCGCTGTCCGCGTCGCTCGCCGTGATTGACGCCGCATCCGCCGGGGGGACGCCATCGGCGGTCCACCAGCTCCGCCCCGCAGTCGCAGAGGAGTCGTTTTCGTTGCCGAAAATCGTCGCATGGCCGCCGCCAGCCCTTCCGCCTCCTTTCCGCCGACCGCGCGGACTCTGCGACCGGCAAGTGCGCGGACTAATCCCGCGGAATGCTCCGCCGCCTTCCGCCCTTCGCGCCAGTCCCCCTGCGGCGACAATTTCCGCCGCCCGCGCGGACTCCGCGGAGTCCCCTTCCTCGTCCGCAAGCAGACCGCTGCAGTTCGGCGGAAGGCTCCGCGCCCTCCTTGCTCCCCGCGTCCCCCGCCCCTCGCGCCGCCTCAGCGAACCATGAATAGCCTCTCTAGGCGCTTCGACTCCTCTGTAAGAAACATCGTTTCTGTGTAGCATCGGTATCTCCGACTTGTCTGGACTTGTCTGTGCGTTCCGGTCCGCAAAAGCGCTTTCCGTTCCTAATGATATTGCGTTTCGCCCTCCTTCAGCCGCGTTTTCCCCTCCTAGACTGTTTTCGGCCCCTAGCGCCCGCCGTGTCACTTCCGCGAAAAGAGCACGATTTTCGCCACCGTCTGTGTTACACGTCTGATCTCGCCCGTCCCTGTCATCAGCCACGTCATCATCGTCCGGGAACATGACATCCTGGTCCCAATCCACGTCATCGACGCACGGCACGCCGCACAGGTAACGGCGGTAGCGCGGAGTCCGCGGGATTCCGATTCCGCAGGTGGGCGGAAAGCTTTGGGAACATCGCGACTGGCAAGATCGTCCGAAAAACGGGGAACCTGGACGGTGGGAGGCTTGCTCCTGCTGCTCCTGCTGCTGCTGCTGCTGCTGCTGCTGCTGCTGCTGCTGCTGCTGCTGCTGCTGCTGCTGCTGCTGCTGCTGCTGCTGCTGCTGCTGCTGCTGCTGCTGCTGCTGCTGCTGCTGCTGCTGCTGCTGCTGCTGCTGCTGCTGGTGTTGCTGCTGCTCCTTCACGCGGTGACTAAACGGACCGCGGCAAGTGACGGCGCGACCCCTCGCCGGGGAAGCTGGCGCCGATTGCGGACGAGTAATGGGGATGGCACGCTCTGATCGAGGCACACGCTCTCGGCGAGGCCCTTTTCGAATCGGCGATCCCAAGGTGAATCTAGCGAGCATCTCTAACGTTGTGCTGGTGCTATTAGCGGGGGGAGGCGTGACCGTCGTTGATTCGAGGTTCGTAGTAGCAGCAGCAGAGAACTCGTTGGGGAGACTTGGGGGGATGGAATAATCAGGAGCGTTGCGACAATCGCTCGCCGTTCGTCGCAGACTTCGTCGTCGCTGGCGATTGTGCGATTCTCCACCGAAGTGATGCCGCCGAGCGAATATACCCTGGAGTTCGATAAATGCGTAGGGGCAGGAAATTAAAGTATTCAACTGTGAGTCGTCATGGTCCCCCAACCCACTGACAAGAAACAAGTCTCTTGCGCTGAAGTATTTACAGGCCCTAGACTTTCTTGACGTCACTTAGAATCACTCTGACGGTCACCGTCATGACGGTTATGCAGTAATCCAAGGCTAAAATCGGTAGAAGCGACTTCACCGTTTCCAATTAATTGGATCAGGGCTGTCCTTGAAATTGATAATAAGTCGTTTCAACAGCAGTTGGAATGAGCGACCTACCTGCAGCTTCTGAAGGGCTTCCATCACGCGCCTTTACTCCGCCGTGCTCCTTATTCCCCCTTTTACGAAGCGCTAAGCTCTGCTGCCAAACAGTCTTTCTACAGACAGCTATTTCCAGTGTAGTGTTGTGAGAAGAACGCATACAGCTCTCTAATTTGATAAAGCTTCTCGAAGGCGAGCTATCTAACTATCACGGCGGGTTGTTCTACACGTGCGTAATAGTTTGAAGGGAGTGCAATGACAATTGTTGGTATACGCGCGCATGGCGGAGCAAGAATAAGGCGCAGCATCATAGGTGGTTTGAACAAGGCGCAGCATCAACGGTATGCGGAGTCACACTATCCAGTTTCGCCTGACAAAGCGCTAAATTGAGTCGCTGGTGAAAGAATGAATAACACCATTTTGGTTGGACGCTATAATTAGACGCGAAACCTCCCGCTTGGCCTGGAAACTGCATAGTCAACTACACCAGGATGGCGAGCGAGAGAGCACGGATCTACGCAGGCAAAACCGCCATTCTGGAATCTGGGGTGGAAAGGGAGACGACAACAGGCGAGATTTTCTGCTCACAGACCAAAGCACGGCCGATGGATTTACATCAAGGATGATCAGGAGCAACAGCAACGGTCAGGATGCACAGTGAGCGAGACTCGCTGTGGCGGGCCCAGCCAGCTGGTGCAGCAAGCGTGGTTTTGAATGAGATGAGTTCGAAGGACCTCTAGGGCACTAACTGAAATCCACTCATCATTATCGGACACGCCGAATTGAGATTGGCAAGCGGTGAGCTTCAGCTTGAGGCGATAAAATCGAGGGCACCTCGGAATAGCCTGCCTGTTGATGCCAGGAGTGGAGCAGTCGAATCTCCATCACATTTTCAAGTTCACTGCGCGGGAAAGAGTGGCGCAACGGGGATTGACGATTGCGAGGAGAGGAGAGAAAATGCAAACAGCTTTGGAGCCTGACGCAGCCCTTTGAAAGACTTTTTGTTTTTTTTGGCATACCGGTACGAGGAGTACTTGTACGGTGGGATCAGTTTCGAAGTGTTTTCATGCGGTAAAGCACGAAAACCGCTCCTGCCTTGTTCATCCAACCGCTGAAAACCTCGCGACCCGAGCAACCCTGTGCTCCGTGCCTTGCAGGCTGGTTGATGCTCTCTGCTTTTGTTTCTGACACGACACGATTTCTCCCCATCGTCGCACCCACTTGTTTTGCCGATGACCAGGGCGGATGAGCATCTGTCATCTGTCCCTCTGTGGTGGCTACTGTGTAGAATGGCGGCTGTGGTGTGGGGGTGTCGCCAGGGGCGGTGGGGTGGTTTTTGACTCATGGGTTTTTTGGCTGGTGCAAATATCACGTGGTTGTTCATGTTAACTTGTTTCAGGTCACCCAGCTTTAGCTACCGCCTATTTCAACTACAGCACGGGGTGTGAAGGATTGCCAAGGTGTAATATCCTTCTTGTGTACTGGGAAATGTTCGGACGCAATGCGGGGATGCACACGTAAGAAAGATAGTCGTGTGCTCGAGTACAGAACACGAGAACAGAAGAGAATAAATTCACCTCTTTGAGGCACAAGGCATGTGCCCGTCGAAATACACTGGACCCCTGGCACGCCCCCCACAGCCGTGGTTTCAATCGGTCGGAAATATTTCTGAGCGGTGGAACCTTTGAAACCCGGTGCACCGGGGAGTGCTGGGGCGTTCCGCACCACACACTTTCCTCCCGTTGACAATCCCTGCAATACCCTGCCTGCCCAATATACAGTGTTATGGTGCCCGTTGACAAATTCAGAACCCCTTTTAGCCATTTCTAAACGCGGGCAACGAACTCATTCAGTTGCATTTTGAGATAACTTAGGACAAAACACCTCGCCGTACCTTTTGGCAAGCAAAGCCTTATTCAAGAAAATAAATTCTTGGGCATCACGAAAGACCACAGTACCTCCAGCTAGCGTGATGATAATGGAGGTCCAGACAACACAACTCAGCGTGCGCGAACTGCAGTGTACAGTAAAGACTCCACGTAACCACGCGTGTGAATTTTTTTTTTTCACTGAGACTTCCTGCCAGAATTCAGCCGACTCCAACGAAGCAAACGCTACAGTGTATGAACCTTTTTGAACCTGGACCACGTGGAACTGTTACTACGTAGCATGTGGTTTGTGTTCGCTTTGGCGGGTGGATTTGAGCAGTCGGTTTTGAGTCACTCAGTTGTACACTTACGCTATTGATGTCTACAGTGTTTTTGCAACAAAATGTAACTAAACCTGTTCTTAGATTACTCAAGCCGAATTGGCAATATCCTCCCTTAGCCTGCGTGCCAGGGCATCTAGGCCCTTTTTCTTGTTCACCTGCTTTGAATTTCGGGTGCCAAACAAACCAACAGCAGCTTCCCCGACATCCTGTCATCACGGAAAACAGCAGATGTGTGAGCTGGCGCCTCCATTCACAATGCACAGAAGCAGAAAAGAAATGGTTTTAGAGTAGCCTTACCTGCTTCTATGAGCAAGATAAAACATACCCGATACTTATCGCAGACGATGAGAACTTTAGTCGGCGCCAGCGCCCCGTAATTCTTCTCCCGATGCGATTTCGTTGCATAATGCTCGGGGTTGTTGCTGAGAATGAGGTTGATGAGCTGGCGTGACTCCGCAAGGTGCGACTTGAGCGGCACAGCCTCGCCATTGTCCTTCATGACGCCGCTCTTCTCGTCCTCCTGGTCGGCAAAGCCCTCGATCACACGCAGGTCGTTGTCCACACCCTGGATGGCGTACAGGTTGAACCGCGGCACGGCGGAGCCACACAGCAGGCTGACGAGGACGTTGCTGATGTGGCGCATCATGCCTCCACTCACCTGAGACAGGGTGGACAATGGGTGGGGAAAGGTACGTAGTGTTGGGTAGCAAGGCGAAAGGGACACATGGATGATGGTTAGGTAAAGCAGGCAGCGGACTGGGAACAAACTGAACCAGCTACAGCATGCAGTTGCAGGCAGTCCAGAAGCGGAAGAGTGAAAGCTGACTTACCCGCTGGAAGGCATCGAGGGGAAGCAGCTGCCTGGCTGTCTCCATCATGGTCTCCAGGTAGATGCAGAGGTCCGTGAGATACTCGTTCACCAGCTGCTCTCACATGCAACAACACGGCCCAACAGGAGAGAAGGGAGAAACCAGAAGAGAGAAGAAGGACGGGTGTCGGGAGGGAATAGAGGGGAAGACGAGGGGGAAAGGAGGTGATGAGAAGGGATGGTGGGAACTATGCTGGCGTAGGAATTGCATCAATCATGCGCTCCAGGTATGTGAACGGATCTGTGAAGTGGCTCTCAGCAGCTAAGATCCTTCACTCTCAATCATGCAGGGATGGAAGGGATTGGAACCAGGGAGGGATGGACAACAGAACAGACACAGCTCTGCCAAAAAACAGAAGTGCACTCAGGCACCATAACAGTATGGAGCCCACCCCAAATGCCTCGTCTCAGGTTTGAGTGACACTTCCCTTCGCACCAGAAAACAGAAGAGAGTGAAATTAAGCGGGTCGAGTTCACACATACGTACCCCAGGTGGTTCCATGGGATTCCACGGGATCTGCTCTGCAGGAGCCATCATGTCATCGATCTTTTCATTCATGATGCGCAGCATGGCATCATACGCCCCCGCCTGCGACTGCCTGAGGGTGTTCCTGGCGGCCAGCGTGCCGTGTGCGCCGTCCACCAGGCGGGATGGAATGCCGCAGGACTTGGCTGCGTGCTCTGCGAAGAATGCACATGCTCGCTCCATCACTGTCATGTTCGCCGCTACCTGATGGTGGCGAGGGAGAAAACACGGGCATGAGAGGAAAGGGAGAGAGAGATGAGAGAAAGGGGGAGGGAGAGGGAGAGGGGGGGGGTGCGGCAGGACTTGGCCGAGTGCTCTGCGAAGAATGCACATGCTCGCTCCATCACTGTCAAGTTCGCCGCTACCTGATGGTGGCGAGGGAGAAAACACGGGCATGAGAGGAAAGGGAGAGAGAGATGAGAGAAAGGGGGAGGGAGAGGGAGAGGGGGGGGGGTGCGGCAGGACTTGGCCGAGTGCTCTGCGAAGAATGCACATGCTCGCTCCATCACTGTCAAGTTCGCCGCTACCTGATGGTGGCGAGGGAGAAAACACGGGCATGAGAGGAAAGGGAGAGAGAGATGAGAGAAAGGGGGAGGGAGAGGGAGAGGGGGGGGGGTGCGGCAGGACTTGGCCGAGTGCTCTGCGAAGAATGCACATGCCCGCTCCATCACTGTCATGTTCGCCGCTACCTGATAACCAGGGGGGGGGGGGGAGGAGGGGAGGGAGACGGCGAGAAGGTGGGTGAGGGAACGGCATTTGAAGATGGAACATGCTCGCTCCATCACTGTCATGTTCGCCGCTACCTAATAGTAGGCAGGCACGAAACACGGGGGGGAGAGGAAACGGAGCGAGAGAGCGAGAGGAAGAGGGAGGAAGAGGGAGGGATGGAATGCCGCATGACTTGGCTG